TCGTAGGTGGAATGTGAGGGCCTGAGCAGGTTACATCACACACCAACACACACACATTGAGGTGGTGTTTGCCAGGCCAGGTTTCTGCAGTGCGTGAGCAGGCTGCATCCCAGCAGTCACCATATGGACGGATACTGAAGTCAGAACACAAAGAGAGCGACGGATGGGAGAGGAGAAAAGGGGGTTGGAGCAAAGGACAGAGGAATGAAGGGAGGAGGCAAAGCAGGGATTACTGTAAGCAAGGAAATAAGGAATGAAAGAATGTAAAGGAAGCAGGCTTTTGCTTACAATGAGGAGGAAAGGCAAAGAAGGTTACACGGGATCGAGGAATGATGACACTTGGACGTTATTTTGGACAAAAGATGGAGGCTGGAAGGATGACAGCAAAGTGGGAAATGAGAAAAGGGACAAGTCAGAAAAGACAGAGGAATATAAAATTAAAGCTGAAGTGAGGAGGGGAAAAGTGATACTGGGAGCAGATAGGGGAGAAAGAGGGAGGAGAGGGATTGGGAGTATATAAACAGATGGATGAGTGTGAAGCAGAGATCATAGAGAGATTTGACAGATGAATACAACATAGAGACTCACGTGATCCACAGGGCTTCTTGCAATAAGCCTGTTTGCTCTCACTTTTTTCATGTTTTTAAAAGTAAATGGCATATAATATTCATATATGTGTAAAACCATTCACACACAGTCAGTTTAGAACCACCAATGAATCTAACCTCACGTGTTTTTGGAGTGTGGGAGGAAACCGACGGACCCTGTGGCAACCCACGCAGACACATGGATAACATGCAAACTCCAGACAGCCTGAATTCAAACCCAGGACCTTTTTGCTGTGAGGTGATGTTGCAAGCCCGAGGCTGATGAGTACACTGCGGTCAGAAAAGGACGAACATCGTCAGCAGCAATACTCAGGCAGGCTGTCGGGTTTGAATAATGCTCAGTTGGTATGAAGGACCCCAAAGTGTGCCAAGAAAATATCCCTCACACTATTAAGCCACCAGCAAGCTGAACTGTTGATGGAAGTCAGGATGGATCCATGTTTAACCTCATTTACACCAAATTCTGACTCTAACATTTGAATTTTTACAGCATTTTTCCAATGCTCTGTTGTCCATTTTTGGCGAGCCTGCATCAACTGGCTCAGCAAAATTGCAGGTGTGGCACTCAATGTGGTCTTCTGATGCTGTAGCCCATCTGCTTCAACGTTCAACATGCTGCGTGCATTAACCTCCTAGGACCTGGCGTCTACATATGTGGACATCACATTTTGGGTTATTTAGACTAAAATACTCAATTTTGCTCTACAAGGGCCTGATATCCACTTACGAGAACATTATACTGCTACTGTTCTATCCCAATTTTAAATGACTATCCTCATTTGTGGCTCTCATTTTCTTAGAAACAAAAATCAGGTAAAAAAAAATATCTGGTAATTCTTTTTTTACATTCATCGGGTCTCAATATGCCTGAATATCAAAGAGAAATTAAAAATGCATGCCGTGGAAGAGTTCGGGTCTTAGGTTAAAAGATGCTCTTCTGCAAACCTTGGCTGGAACAACTGTTGCCTTCCTGTCAGCTCATTCTACTGTGACCTGACTTTAACAGAAGACTGCTGCTCACCGAGATCAACCCATCTGTCATCATCAAAGTCACTTAAAACTCGCCTTTTTCCTCCCACTCTCATGCGCATTAACAAGCTGTCTGAGAGGTGTAGCCAAGTGTCTACTGAGCGTACGCAATGGATTAACATTTCCATCAGGTGAATGTTAAACCTGTTTCTAATGTAATTCTGCAAACAATAATTTGCCCCCCGCCCCGCCAATCGCCATGTGGTGCAGCAATCTTAACATGATTAATCTAATATGCTCAATGTTTTCTTAGAGTTCTAATTGTAGTCATTTTGAAACATTCTGATCCCACATCTTTGCTCTTTCATGCCAGTTATATTATTGTAATCATCACCCCCCCCCGCCCCCGTGGTTAATATTTCAGCCAAAAGAGCTTTCATAGCGAGTCAGTAACAAATGTTAGTGTTTAAACAGTTTAAACTACCCGGTAGATTTACACACTGTGGCCAGAAAACCCACAAATTTAGGATTAAACTCATAATAAACCTGCTTCCTTCTTCAGGATCCTGCAGGTTTAACAAACAAAATGTCACAGTATTCAATTTTTCAAGTAAAATTTAAAACACCCTGGTTTTTATTATGCTGTCATAGCCTCATTTACTTATCTGATTGTTTTCAGTGCATATTTATTGGTGATTTTAGTGACTGTTGTATATACTGTTGTTTTTGCGTAACTTGTACTTTGGAGGTTCTTCAAAATGTGCCATATAAATAAAGTTTGACTTGAATCTAACTGTTGACTTTTTCTGGTTTGACCATTTTCACTCAAAAGCACCATTTAAGGAGTCATTTGTTTAACCGTCTGAGACGCTTCGAGGTACTTTTAGGACATAAAGCATGAAACAGCACATTTCCAGTGTAATAAAACACAAGACCAATCTGAGTGTTTTGTAAATAACAGTTTATTTGAAAACCAGGGATCAGGCTGCTTTTGGGCCAGTTTAGCTGCTGCTCTGTTTGGCGGCCAGCCTCTTGTCTCTCTCCTCGGCGATGGTCAGACGGATTCCCTTTCCTCTGGGCAGGGACACCCACGGCTTGTTGCCCTGCGATCAGACAGGAGATCAGAGCAGTTAGTGCTGGTCAGAAGATAAAATACATCTGAACAGGTAAAATATAAAGCCGGACAAATAAATTTCAACTCAAAACGTGAATACAGACATATTCAAGATGGCCACAGTTCCACAGATTTATTTAGAACAAACATCTCTTTAAGTGCTCAGTGTGAGAAAAACGCCTCAGTCTGTAACAGTAAACAAAGATCCTCAATTGTGTTAACATTTATCTGCACGCCAACACTTCTACAAGGAGCTGTCACTGAGGTGAAGAAAAGAGCAGCTCCGAGGCCGCCACATAAATGTCACGCAGCAAAGAGACGACCGTGCTGGCGACAGATCCGATCACACCGGCCGCCAAATAAATGTCAGGCAGCAGAGGAGCGTTTTATTAACCACGCTCCCACCGCAGGGCCAGGTCCTCGTAATCATTAATGTGCGATTCAGTGGGACAGAGAGGAGTTCATAAAGCTTTTCACACCGCTCGGCTCCTCGCTGTGAGCCAAAATCAACAGGAAAACAAACGCAGTGTGTGTGTGTTTGCTTCGTGGCACTTCACTCCCTCTTGTGGACTCTGGTTGCTGCCAGATCCAGTTTGCTTCAATGGCCCAGCTATTAAACATGATCGCTTTCAGTAGTGTTTCCTGGTATAAAGCACGCAAATTTATGACTTTTCCAACATTTTACTCTCCTTGATTTTGATTTCAGACAAAGACTTTTTAACGACATGCAGGAACCCGAGTTATGCACCCTGTCTGCATTTTGTTTCCTCCCGGAGGACGTAATCAAACGCAGCGCACAGTGCTCGGCGTTAATGAGTCCAATATTAAACCATCACTGCTGTTTGTTGCTGCACAGAGCCACAGTCATGTTCCCACGCTCAGTTAACTTAAGCTGAAGTTTCCAGTGTTTGGTGATGGAGCTCAGAACTTCTTAGAGGAATTGGTAGTTTATTTTCATCACTAATCAAAACCACAAATCGTCATCATTGCTCCAAAAATCACCCGATTCATGATATAAACTCAGCTTTAATTCTCCTGTCCAGAGTAACACATGATAGAAAACATCAACGGTCACCCAGAAGACCGTCTTTAAAGACTTATTAATAGATTCTGATGGACTGCTTCTATTTTAATCTGCACAAATGTCTTTACGAGTTAATCGACTCAGCAAGAAGGTGAGAGTCAGAAGTAGCAAGTTAGGGAAACAGAAAAGAGGGTTAAAGTCAGTTTGTTTACATGTAGTTAGTAAAAAAACTCAAACTACACCTTTTTTAAAAGCTCTACTTTTAAAGCTATGAATGAAAACCTTGTTTTACTTGAAAGGGGAAAAGATTTAATTATTAGAGAACCCTCCTGGTCATTGTAAAATTAAACACTGCTGAGCTTTTACTTGACAGGCAGCTGTTGACTATACGCAGACACTGATACACTGTTAGGATACTTCAAAATACTCTGCATAATAGTAGCACTTTGAGGAAATTTCTTGTCACTGGACCTAAAATTTGACATCCCCCTGGTCTGGATGCTGTGTGCTGCAGACAGCGGTGGCGTATTTCTCACCTTGCCAATGACAAAGATGTTGGAGAGCCTGGTAGCAAAGCTGTTGCCTGTGCTGTCCTTGACGTGCACCACGTCGAAGGAGCCAGGGTGACGCTCCCTGTTGGTGATCACACCGATACGCCCCAAGTTAGCACCACCGGTCACCATGCACAGGTTACCTGGAAGAGGGTGAAGATCAGCGGTCAGAGATGTTCTTCATTAACAGGAAAACAAGCCTGCAGGTTGTGCAGAGAGCTGAACGTACCAGTATCAAACTTGATGAAGTCTGTGATCTTGCTGCTCTCCAGGTCGATGCGAACTGTGTCGTTGACCTTGATGAGTGGGTCGGGGTAACGGATGGTGCGGGCGTCGTGGGTCACCAGGTGAGGGATACCCTTGGTGCCGATGAGGATCTTCTTCACCTTGCACAGCTTGTACTGTAAGAGGAAGAGGAGGTGTTTTAGGAAATGCGGACAAACATGTGACATTTCTGGTAAAAACTAAATCCCCAAACCTCATCATGCGACCAGCACGACTGACTGAAACACTGAGAATTTGGTGATACCGACACCAGTTTAAATCCAGCTCATGAACACCAACTCTGGCATAAACAGACATGTGATTGTGATTTTTTTTAACCTTACAGTAACTGAGTGAGGTAACTATGCGTTTGATTTGACACAAAAGTGCAGATAAAAAGAGCACTATAGTAACAAATGACCTGCTTGTACTTTGAGGGTTGAGGATGAATTAAGTCAGCGGTCCCTAACCTTTTTTGCGCCACGGACTGGTTTATACCCGACAATATTTTCACGGACCGGCCTTTAAGGTGTCACGGATAAATACAACAAAATAAAACTAGTACCGGTACCGAAAAAAAGAAGATTTATTCATAACACA